AAAAAAAAAAAAAAAGAAACAAAAGAAACAGAAATGGAAAAAGACAATGATGGGGTTTTTGAAGTTTTTATTTTATTTTATGTTATTTAGTAACTATTATTATTATTTTGATATAAAATTGAAAAGTCCCCAAAATTAAAGCATGTGGTAACCATATTATTTGGAAGTCGTGGGGTGCCTAACACCTTCTCCATGCTTAACCAACCCTTCGAACCTAGTCAATTTCTACGAAGACCTTGGTGATCTATCCCACCTCATTTGGATAGATGGCGACTCCATCCATTTTGGCACATCAACAATTTGGCAACTCCACTAGGGACCTTGAGGGGTCAAGCCATTTATACTTTAATTTTGGGGTTTTTCAATTACTAACTTTTGTTTTGTAGGTGGCATGAAGTACCTTGTAAGTTTTTTATTTTGTTATTTTATATTTTTGTTATTTTCATAGGTTAATTTTATGTATATACTCATTCACACATCTCACTTGCATATCATTTTGTCCTTGATGAGGTGAACCCGACCTTCAGATAGATGGATAACTCATGGAACAATGAAAAGCGCAATGCTTTCATTGTGAAGTGAGATTTATCTCTTTTAGGTTCATTTTGTGGGTTAATATGGCTTGAAAGCCATAATTTTGCTACTGTATTAGGTCATGAAGCCTCTTGTTAACTCTATAGAAGTTGGCAATTGTTGACTTTATGGAAGTCAATAATTGTTGACTTATGGAAGTTAGCAATTGAAAAAGCCTAATCGTATAGGATCCACTAGGAAACCGCATATAATGGACTTAGACAAAACTTAACCCTAGGATGGCCAGCTTAGTAAACCACCTTCAAAGTCTAAGAACCTTATACATAGGACACGTTGGGAGTATTTTATTTTTAAACAATAATTTTGTGTTTCTTAGGTGAGGAATTCGACCAAGAGGTATGACATTCATTAACTCTCCTTTTTCTTTTCTTTAATAAATAGGTAATTGATTATTTTACACATGGATTCTTTGGAGAAAAAGAACAGTAAGGGAAAAAGGGTGAATTTAGAGTTAGAATGTCCACCATTATCCAAGGAGAACAAGTCACACAAGGATGGATTCTTTGTGCAGACCAAAAGACCTTGTGTAAAAGACTTGGTTGCTGCTTGGAATAGTCTAAGTAATCTTGAAAAAGTGAGGTTTGACAAGAAATTTGGCAGAATAGCTGATGTGCTGCAAGTAGAGTCGGACTGGGAAATCATTAGGGCAAGCCTAAGATTTTATGTCCCGCATCTTCGTTGCTTTGTTTTTCTTGAGTTTGAGTTGGTACTCACCATTGAAGAATATTTTCAGTTATTGTTCAATCGCCCAGAAATGAGTTCAGAAGTTTATGTCCCAGACCCTGTTAACTTCCAATTAAATAAGTTGCAATTTCAGTCCATATTACAAAAGATTTTGAGCTTTCCTTTAAAGTTCATAGAAAGTTGCATTAGGAAGAAAAATGAAGTTTGGGGAGTTAATTGGGACATGATGTATTCCAAATTAAAGTTTGATCTAAGTTCACTTTTTTAGGAGGACCGCTTAAATTTTGTTGCCTTAGGTATTTATGGAATGGTTATTTTGCCCACTAATATGGACAGTATTAGTTCATCAGTTGTAGCCATGTTTGAGCAATTGATCAAGAATCCAAATCTTAATGTTGCTCTTGTTTTAATTGCTGAAACTCTATGCGATGCTGACTATATTCGAGCTCATGGCAAGGGTAGATTCACATGTTCTGCTAGTTTGTTTACAATATGGATACATGCGCATTTATCAAAGGTAAATATCTCCACAATTAGGGAGTTTGGAATTTTGCAAAAAAAGAATCAATTGGAAAAGAAAATGGTTGACCAATGGCATCAACAATTCTTGAATTTGAGATCCGAAGACATAGTCTAGTGTGTGACATGGTTGAAGTCTACTGATTACTTTTATCCTCCACGTGGTCATAACTGGATTCTGTTATTGGGTGTTCGAGGAGCTATTAGCTATAGTTCAACATTAGTGATGAGGCAATTCCGTGATAGGCAAAGTAAACCATTGCTAGATGGTATCTCCTCTTATGGGTTTGATTATTCTCTTGATACTCAAGTAATTAATCAAATTGGCTTTGCCAAGGAAGTATGGTCACAATGTGAAGTTTGTTTCTCAAGGAACAAGATTTCAGTCACTTCTGAGCTTGAAGAATGGAGGAAAGTTTGGCTTCAAGACATAGTTATCCCTTATGACATTCTTGTCATTAAAGAAGCTATCATAGTGGATTTGAAGAAAAGAATAGCAGAGCTAGAAGGTTTATCGTGTGCTTAAAGGGTCAAGCATGAAAATGAATTAGAGAGAAATATATGGACATTTATCTTCTGGAAGGAGAGAAGCAAAAATTGATTAAGGAAAAGAATTCTATAACTTTTGAAAAAGAGGAGGTAGAGAAAGAAATCGACGAGCAGGCTCAAACTCTTAAAAAATTAAGAAGGATCATCCAAAAGGAAGAAAGGTAGAAGGATCATTTAATGTGTGATAAAAACAAGTTGGAGGATGAGCTCAATCAAGTCAAAGATCAGAGTGCCGATTTAAAGACTCTAATAAATCAATAGCTGAGTGAGATTGATCGACTTATGGATTTTGAAAATGAAGTGGAGAATTTGCTCGATAATAAATTACAATTGTTGCAAAAACTTGATGAAGCTCAAAATAATGAAGAACTGATGAAAGAAAAATTGGCGTTAATGCAAACATGACAAGTTTATCAAAATGGGAAGATAAGAGGACTAGAAGCAAAGGTAAGAAGATTAAATGCACAGTTGAGTGAGGCATTAGCTAAAATTGATCAATTAAAGAGAGAAGGAGGAAAGCTACTCTGTTTGGTCAATGGAATCTACTTTGAAGCAATGAAGGTTAAGCGTACTATTCCACCAAATCAGCATGATGTAGCTTCAAATTTTGTGGAAGGGCTTTTAAGGATGATAAGGGATTATTGTGAGCATGAACTTGAAACAATAGAGTATTGGAAAAACAAAGAAAAGTGAAAGTTTATGATTGTTATCTGTTAGTTGTTATATTCGAAATTTTAAATAAAAGAATAAAGTTTGGAGTCAAATTTCACATTTTCTTGAATTTTATTTGTTGAGAAAAAGCAAGTTCCTCAATAAAAAGAAGAAAAGATATGAAGGAGGCAATCTCCTCATTATTTTTCTTTTACTTAAAAAAAAAATGCTAAAAGATCATGAAGGGGGCAATCTCCTCATGTTTTTGGCTAGCGTGACAATTGCTTGGCTCTTATTTCTCATTTCCTTTACATACAAATGGCTGAAGTTGTTCTTGACAATGAAGAATCCATGTGTAAAAATAAATAATTAGAAGTTAGGTTTTACTCATTAATGGAAACATTGGGAACTTATCTTTCAAAATGCCAATTAGATAAATTCATGATTTGTTAATAATACTTATATTTCTTTAGGTGTTGAAAGATTGGTCCTAAAAAGAATTATCCAATAGTTCGTCCACCTATTCTCACTAGAGCTCTTGCAAGGAAGATGGCTAACAAAGCTAATTTAGAGAAGGGAGCTCTTGAAAATCGTGTTGAAAATATGGAAAATACTTTGAAGGAATTGATGGCTTCCTTCCAATCTCTTCAAGCAACCTTAGTCATAAGGGCACCTTTAGCGACAAATCCTTTGTTTGAAGAAAATGTTTCGATGGCAAATCTCCTTATGGCCACATCTACTTTAACTCTTGGGAAAGAGCCTACGTCATCTTACCCACCAAATCCAACTATTGGTGGAACTTTTGGGACAAAGCCATTTGATCTAAATGCTGGTGTTGCTACAGTTTAGTCTAATGATCAAGAAGAGACTCAAGTTGTCAAGTCAATCACAGAGTATGAAGACAAGGCAATTAAAGTGAAGGTGCAGTTGATGAAGGAAACACTAAAATTGATGCAAGGTGTCCAAACCAATAAACCGATTGACATCTCATCTTTGTGCTTTTTCCCAAACATTCAATTGCCCCATAAGTTTAAATTGCCTGAATTTGATAAGTACAATGGCACTGGTTGTCCTTATACCCACTTGATGATGTATTGTAGGAAGATGGCTCCTTATGCCAATGATGAGAAGTTAATGATACATTACTTTCAGGATAGTTTGGCAGGTCTTATAGATGCTTGGTTCTCAACTTTAGACAAGAGTAAAGTTAAGAGTTGGCATGATTTGACTCACAACTTTATGAAGCAATATGAATACAATACATCATTAGATCCTAGTAGAAAGGATCTTCAAAAGATAGAAAAGAAACCAAGTGAAAGCTTTAAGAAATTTGAACAGAGATGGCATGGATTGGCTGCTCAAGTTCAACCTCCACTAACTGACCATGAATTGAGTAATTTATTCATCAAGTCAACCAAAGGGCCTTATCATGAGAAGTTAATAACTTGTGTGAATTACACTTTTGCTCAGTTGATTATTGTGGGATAACAAGTGGAGGATGGAATCAAGTTTAGAATTATTATGGATTATCAAGCAATGAAGAGTATCCTTGAACAATACCAAAATGATAGTTCAAAGGTTTCTAGTCCAAAGAAAGTTGGTCAAAATCGAAAGAAGGAGAATGGAAATGGCACTATAAGCTCAGTTTATGAGGCATATAATCAGTCACGAGGGCAATTCAACAATCGGTTCGAAGCTCAAACTTATCAATCAACGGCTTTCACAAGTCAATCAAGGCCTGTTTATGCCTCTGGGACAAGTCATCCACAACAAGAGGAAAAGAGATGCTATTTTGATAAACTTCTAATCTCATATATTGAAGTGTTTCGACAGTTGATAGCAGCTAGGCTTGTTACCCCTGTACCTATGGTGCCATTAAATCCACCATTTCCAATATGGTATAATCCACAAGTAAGATGTGAATATCATAGTGGAGGTGTTGGGCATGACCTTGAAAATTGTCTTGCTTTAAAGCACTGTGTGCAAGATCTGATAGATGCAAAGGAGTTACAAATTACATCAGAACTTGAGGTTGTTGGTCCAAATATCACTAAAAACCCTTTACCCACACATGATGGTCCAACGATTAATATGATCAAGAAAGACTCCGATAAAGGTCATAAGGTAATTACATCAACAAATAATGATGGTTTGAGCACTTCTTTTGGGAAGTTAAGTATATGAATCATTGATGAAGGGATGGATGAGGACAAGGTTATTTTGCCTGCTCATGGTGAATCTTTGGACAACGGGATAGTAGAGATTCTTCCTATTCCTATCATTAAATCGTAAGATGTGTCAATCTTCTTATGGTTGAGCTTGTGACCATGAGAAGAGATGGTTGAAACAAGCCTTTTATATTTTATGAAGCATTGTAGGCATGACAAATAATGTTCCATTCAGTTCATTTCAATCAATGATGTTACTTTCATTTTCATTCCCTCTCTTCATATGCAAGATTGTTCATTTTCTTTTATTCAAATTTCTCATGCTAGCCAAAATTTCCATCTCTAGGTTTGCTAATAATAAATCCACAAATAGTGATATCATTCTTGAACTTACACATAGTTTTGATGAACTGATTTATTCTATGGAAGATGATGAAGAATTAGAACCTTTTCCTAAATTGACTAACATGTTGAGAGAATAAGAACCTAAATTGCAACCTAATCACAATGGCTACAACATAAAATGGGGAGTCAGGCCTCGAAGGTTTCAAGAAAGAGATGTTGTTTTTAAGAAGAAGATGTTTTGAAGAAAATTCTACCTAATGAGAGGGATCCAAAGGGAAATTTTGCTTCAAACTACAACAGTCTTTACATCATGAAGGCACCTTTTTTAAGGGCAGCTTTATTATTAGTTTATCTTGATGGAGATGATCTCCCACATCCGGTGAATGTAGATGTGGTTAAGAAATACTATGTGTTTAAAAAAAAAAAAGAGAGAGAAAAAGAGGCTAGGCTAAAAACCCAATGGGGCAGTCTAGGCAAAATAAAGAAAAAGTGTTCATGATGAGGAAGTAAAGAATCCAATGACGAAAGGCTATTCTTCTTTATCCTTTGATCATGGAAATTATCCTTAGAAACCCTTTTTGAGCCAAAAGAAAAGGTAATCATCTAACTTATAAAAGCCTGACGATTTTCTTTCTAAATTGTCCTATATCAAGAGCCTAGGGTGAGAAGAGTGTTAGTGAGGGGATTAAATGGGAAAAGAGAATTTTGAGCCATTTTATCCTTTCTTTCTAATTAGCCGAGCGCTAAACCATGATACAAGCCAATGTAAAGTCCTTATTAGAGGATTTGTAGCTTGCTCATCTATGAACACACACACACACACACACACACACAAAAAGAAAAAAAGAAAAAAAAGAAAAGAGAGAAGAAGAAGTAAGGGCAAGGTTTAAGTTGAAAACCTGAAAGGGTGACTTAGGCTAATGATAGCAAGAAGATCTATTGAAAGGAGATAATCAAGAGGGAAAACATAGCAGTGATCCATGAAAAGGAAACTAAGACTGAGTCATTGACCTAAGTGTAAAAAGGGATGTTTTTTGAATGTGTTGAGAAAGGGATGATATCACTATTGTGGAAGAATTGTTGAGCAAGCTTTTCTTGCCTTTTAATTGTTATATGTTCAAAGCTTTCTTCATACCCAATTCATTGTTTCATTTATCCTTAATAAATTTCAAAAATTCCTTTTCATTCTTCATTTCCATGCTTTCATTGGAACATTAAATAGTCCAACACTTGATGCTTCATTTAATATGATTGTTTCATTCAATACTATCTTTGATACACTAAAGATTTGTGATAGTCACAAGAAAATTTGAAGCTCTCTAATGTTTAGAAAAATGCTCAAGCTAGCAGAATGGTCATTGCCAATTGAAGAAAAGAGATGAAGTTTGCATCTAAAAAAAAAAAAAAAGAAGAAAAAGAAAAAGAAAAGACAAAGTTGCGTCTTAAAAAATCACATCTTAGATGAAGTTGCATCTCAGGAAGAAGAGGGGATGAAGTTGCATCTCAAAAAGACAAAGTTGTGTCTCAGAAAATCACATCCTAGATGAAGTTGCATCTCAAGAAGAAGAAGGGATGAAGTTGCATCTCAGAAAGACGAAGTTACATCCTAGAAAATCACATCCTAGATGAAGTTGCATCTTAGGAAGAAGAGGGGATGAAGTTGCATCTCAGAAAAGACGAAGTTGCGTCTCAAGAAGAAGAAGGGATGAAGTTGCATCTCAGAAACAACGAAGTTGCGTCTCAGAAAATCACAACTTAGATGAAGTTACATCTTAGGAAGAAGAGGGGATGAAGTTGCATCTCAGAAAAGATGAAGTTACATCTCAGAAAATCACATCCTAGATGAAGTTGCATCTTAGGAAGAAGAGGGGATGAAGTT